CGGGGCGTTCTGGGGCCGTCCGAGACCCTCTGAGGGGCCCCAAGTCCACCAAGACGCCTCCAAGATAGCCCCATAATGGCCGCCCGCCCAGTCGGCGGGACCGATTCTGGGCCACCGCGCCGCCGACCCAGAATCCCGCCCGACGCGCCCTGGGCGGCCGCGCGCGCTTCCGGGGTCGGCCGAGGCGATTCTGGGCCACCAGAAATGCGAAGCACGGCATGGCCCCAAGAGGCCGCGGAGAGGGCTCCAGACCGACAAAAAGGCCGAGTGTTTTTGGAGCCAAATCCAGCAGGGAGCGCCAAACAAGCATCAGAGGCCCATGGTGCGCTGGGAGCCGTTTAGGGGCCGTCCAAGGCTGTTTTGACGCCGTGATGGGAGGCACCTGAAGGGTCTTTGTGCGACCTTGGGTGCCTGTATGGCAGTGTCGGACGCTTTGAAGACGACGCAGGGGAAGAGCGCAAGTTGCCGCTTTCCTGATGGATTGGGGCATATGTCTCCGCGTTCGAGCTCTATGGGAGCGCTGCTTCGAGCCCAGATGGAGCATCTTGGAGCTGTCTCGGGCCTGTGGAAGCTATCGTGGGCGTCTTCGAGCGCTGAGGCCGTCTGGGATCGTCTGGGAGGTATCACGGGAAGCTCTTGAGGCGGGTATGAGGTATCCTGGGAGTCGGGTGGCCGTCTTGGGCCGTCTAGGAAGCCTCAGGGCCTTCAGGGAAAGCCGCCACCGTGGGGCCGTCTAGGAAGCCTCATGGCCTTCGGCGAAATCCGCCACCGTGCCTGTGCCTGGGTAATGGCTCAGAGGCGTCTGGGGTCCCTCTTGGAGGCAGCTTTGGGGCCTCTTGGGGGCCGTGTTGGGGCCTCTTGGGGCTTGCTTTGGGTTGTTCCCTTGGGGGGGGTTGGGGGCCTTGTGTGGGCGCAGGCCTCGAAGGGGCCTCTGGGGGCCCTCGTGGGCTCTCATCGGTGCTATTTGGGCAGTCTCGAAACCGTCCTCAGCCTTTTTGAACGCCTCTTGGGCCGTCTGGGAGCCGTCTTGGACCGTCTTGGCGGCTCTTGGGGCTGTCTTGCGTGCCTTCGGGGCCGTGTTGGAGCCATCGTGGGCCGTCTTGGGCGCCAATTGAGCCGTCTTCGGGCCGTCTGCGGCCGTCTTTGGGGCTGTCTTGGGTCCAAGAGCGCTCCAAGAGGGCCCCAGGACGCCGCCGGGCGCGGGCCCGTCATTCTGCCACGAGAGGCCATCTTGTGGCAGAATGCGCCCGGCCCCGTCTTGGAGGGGCACGAAGGCCTCAAGAAGGCCGCAAGAGCGCCCCAAGGGGCCCCAGAGGGCCCCAAACCGTATGTACTTGATATGCTTCTGGGGCTGCGAGATGGGCACCCAAGTACATGCGTCTTGGGGCCTTGTCGGGGCCATCTGGAGGCCCTCCTGGCCCCCTCTTCGGGTCCCTCGGGAGCGCTCCCACCCTGTCCGCCCTCCTCTTGGGGCCGCCATGGGCGACCGAGGAACCGTCTTGGCGCAGTCTTGAGCCGTCTTGGGGCCCTCCTGGCAGCCTCCTGAGGCGTCTTGGGACGATCTTGAGGGCCTGTGTGGCCGTCTTGAACGCTTCGAAAACGAAAAGCACGGGAACTCCCGAAATGTGCGGTTTCCCTTGGGATTGGGACGATTGTTCCTTGTTCGGGCTCTCCTGGACTCTCTATGGGGTCCACCTGGGGCATTTTGGGTGCCTCTTGGGACGTCGGGCGGCTGTCTTGGGCGTCTTCGAGCGCTCGGGGCCCGTCTCGGAGGCCCTGTGGGACTGTCTTCGGGCCCTCTTGGGGGGCCTCCGGGGGCGGCTCGGAGCGCTCTGAGGCCATCTTGGAAGCGCGCCAGGGCCCCAGGGCTCTCTGGGGAAGGGGCCGGCTTGGGCCAATCCTGGGCCAGTCTCGAGCGTCAGGGGCCCACCAGGGGGCCTGTTGGGCCGACTTGGGGGCCCTTTGGGCCCGTCCTGGGGCTCCCTTGGGGGCCTCTTCGGCCGTCTTGGAGCCGTCTTGGAGACGTTTTGGGCGGTCGTGGATCGTCTGGAAGCCGACAAGGCGAGAACGGCAAAAACCTTGCAAACAAATAAAGAAAATCTATGTTTTTTCTTGCTCGGGGCCTTCTGGGGAAGCTTCGACCTCTCGGGCCGACTTGGGCCTCTTGAGGCCCCCTTGACGTGTCTTGGAGCCTCCCTGGGCGTCCCTGGGCGGCCCGGGGCCAGCCCGGGGCGGTTTTGACTTCATTGATCCTGCGGATTCTGGCACGCACGACCCCCGTTGAGCCGATTTGGAAGCCCTTTGGGCCGTGTGGGGCCATCTTGGGCGCAGCTCGGACTGTCTTGGGGCCGTCTTGGGTCGTTATTTACCGCTCTTGGGGCTGTCTTGGTTGCCTCTGGGGCCGTCCAGGGCGTCTCTGGAGCCGTCGCGGGGCCGCCTCGGGCCGTTTGGGAGCCCTCCTGGGGTGCTCTCTGGGGGCGTCGTGGGGCGATCGGGAAGGCCTGTATAGCCACCTCGGACGCGGTGAAGACGAAAAGAACGAGCACATCAAAAATGCACGTTTTCCGAAGGGACTGTGGCAATTTTCGCATCTTGGGTCCCTCCTGGGGGTCCTCCTGGGCCGCCTTGGGAGCCTCCTGGCCTGCCTTGGATGCCTCCTGGCCTGCCTTGGATGCCTCTGGGGCCGACCTGGGGCTCAGTTGGGTTCCTCTTGGTCTGTCCGGGCGCCCTCGCGGGCGTCTCTAAGCCGTCTCGGAGCGGTCCAGGGGCTCGCAGGGCGGCCTGGAGAGCCCGGCGGACATTTCAAATCAATAAAATAAAAAAAAAAGGAAAAAAAAAAAGAAACAAAAAAATATCAAAACAAATCAAAAAATTTCAAAAAACAAATAAAAAGCAAAAAACAAAACGAATAAACACAAAAACAACAAAAACTCAAAAAAAACAAAAAAAAAAAAAAAAAAAAAAAAAAAAATCACACAAAAAAGAAAAAAAGAACAAAAATTCAACAAAAGAAGGCTTCAAAAAACAAAAAAAAAAAAAAAAAGATACAAAAATCAAAAAATCAACCAATAAAAAGAAACAGACAACCTTCTGCCACGCCAAAGACCGCTGCATTGTAGAAGATGAATGGGCTGACCGCGTGGACCACGCCCCTTGCGGGTTGGAGGGGGTGCTGCCGCAAGGCGACAGGATGAATGGCGTCATGTTTGCCTGCCACATATCGCTGAGTTGCGGGGGCGCCAGGTAGCGCTGCTCGCCCGTCTAGGAGCCCCCAACGAGCCCCCAACGACACCGACGACGGCGGAGGCGGCGGCGACGACGACGATGACGGCGACGACGAGGCCCAAGGTCTCGGCCGGCGCGCACAAGGGGGTGGAGGGAGAGGGGAGGGCTTCTTAGAAGGAGGCTGCTTCTTAGAAAGCGCCGGCCTTACATCTGCAGATACGGCCCACGCCTTCTAAGAAGCAGGGGTGCTTCTAAAACCCTCCCCCCCTCCCCCCACCCCCCTCTGCGCGTGGCTGAGAGTCGGCGGCGCCGATTCTGGGCGCCCCCCGGCCCGCCGTTCCAGAGTCCTGCCCCTCGCTCCCAAGGCCACGCGCGCCTCTGGAGCCACCCAGCCGATTCTGGGCCCCCGACCCGCCGGAATCGGCGGGGCCGACTCTGGGCCGCCACGCCGGCCCAGAATCCCGCCCGGCGCGCCGCGGGGGCGGCCGCGCGCGCTTCCGGGATCAGCCATTCTGGGTCGCAGGCCCGCCAGCCCAGAACCGGCGGGACCAGTTCGAGGCCGCCGCGCCACCAGCCCAGAATCCCGCCCAGCGCGCTCTGGGCCAACTCTCGCGCCTCCGGGGCGGGCCTTCCTGTTTCTGGGCCACCCCTCCGCCAGCCCAGAATCGGCGGGACCGATTCTGGGCCACCGCGCCGCCGGCCCAGAGTCCCGCCCGGCACGTCCCGGGACGGCCGTCCCGGGGCCGGCGCGGGCGCCGCCTCCGGGACGGCCCTGACCGATTCTGGCACGCCGGCCCAGAATCGGCTTTTTGCGACAGGCCCATGGTGCGCTTGGAGCCGTTTTGGGAACGTCTTCGTGCTGTCTTCGGTGCTGCTGGGGCCGTGATCTTGGGCATCGGGCTCGTTTAGGAGCCTCTCAGCGCCTGTTTTCGGCCTCCTGGAAACCTCCTTGGGCCCTCTTGGGGTGTGTCGGGTGCCATGGGCCGTGTGGAGGCCGTGTGGAGGCCGTCCGGGGCCGTGTGGGGATTGTCTGGGCCGTCTTGGGCGTCTCTGGAACAATCTGGGCACCGTCTAGGGGTCGTCTTGGGCCGTTCTTGAAACTGTCCGGGGTACCCCGTAGGCGGCCAGGGGCGCCTCAGGAGCCGCGCTGGGGCCGTTTTGAAGCGTTTTGGGGCTCAAGGGGCCCTAGGGCCGCATCTTCGGCCGCCATGGGCGCCTCAAGAGCCGTGGTGGGGCCGTTTTGAAGCGTTCTGAGGGCTCTGGGGGCCCTCTTGGGCCGTCTTGGTTGCCTCTCGGGTGGTTGTCTTGGGGCCTTCTAGGACCGTTTTGGGCATCTCTTGGGCCGTCTTGGGCACCTCTTGGGCCGTCCTGGGTTCGTCTTGAACCGTTTTGGGGTCCTCACGGGCGCATTTTAGGGGGGCCATGGCCGTCGTGGACACGTCGGAAACGAAAAGCACGACAATGCCTAAAAAATGCCTTTTCCGGGAAGGAATGGGACGAATTTGGCTTTTTGGGGCTCTCCCGGGAGGTCCTCCAGGGCCGTTTTGGGAGCCTCCTGGCCTTCCTTGGGGTCTTCTGGGGCCGTCAAGGCGGCCTCTCGAGCGGTTCGGGGCCATCTTTTGGCTGTCGGGGCGGCCTTTCGAGCGTGCCGCAGCCGCCTTGCAGCCGTCTGGGTGCTCTCCGGGGCTCGCAGGGGCCGCCGGGGCGCCGACTGCGCTTTCCCCGTCGCTCGCCTTTCCCGCGCGCGCGGGCCCCTGCGTTGTAATCAAGATGACGTCTGGCTCCAGCTTCCCCCCCCGCATCTCGCCCAGCAGCACCAGGGCTCGCTGCCACTGCTCGCCCTTCTCGCACGCGCTGATGCCAGCGTTGTAACTGACTAGGGCAGACCCGTGGACTCCGTCCACGACATCTTTCTGGAATGGTTCTCGGAGGAACGGCGCAGATTGTACCGAACATCTACAAACACGGCGGCGGCTCGGGCGGCGGCAGCGAGACCGCGCCTTCGTGTCCGAGCTCTTGCAGCGCTGCAGCAGCTTGGCCCAGCGCACTACTCGTTCACCCCCCTCCTATTGAGGACAGTTTCGAAGTCTCTCGGGGATGTGCGTCGAAGTCGAAGCCCATCTGAGGCGTCTCAGGAGCGCTCGGGGAAGGGCTCGGGAGGCCATCGGGGAAAGCCACCGAAAGCGCCGGGGAGCGCAAGGATCTACAGGGAGGGCCCAAGAGAGCTTCAAGAAAATTTGAAATCCAGTGAACTCTTAAGAGAAACCGCTGTTGGCTCGGCCATCACCTCCAAGCGCCTTGATGGTGCGATCCAGTCGCATCACCGCCAACGGGAGGGTTTGTTCGCCATGTCCCATTCTGTTCGCCCAGAGGGTCTGTGGAGGCCTTCGGGCTGTCTTGGGCTGTCGTGGGCCGTCGTGGGCTGTCGTGGGCCGTCCTCTTGGGCTGTCGTGGGCCTCTTGGGCTGTCGTGGGCCGTCTTGGGCCGCTCCTGGGGTCGTCTTGGGTGCCTCTTGGGCCGTCTTGGGCGCCTCCTGGGCCGTTTTGGGGCCGTCCTGGGGCGTCTTGGGACCGTCTGGGGGCCCTCCTGGCCCGTCTTGGGGCTCTCTTGGGGTCTTCTTCGGCCGTCTTGGAGCGGTCGGGGGGGCTTCTTGGGCCGTCTTGGAGCGTCGGGAAGCCGACGAGGCGAGGAGGCCGAAAACATAGAAAAACACAGTAGAAATCTATGATTTCTGTCGCTCGCAGCCCTCTTGGGAGGCCTCTTGGGAGGCCTCTTCGGGCGTCTTGGACGCCTCTTGGGCCGCCTGGGGCGAATCTCGGGCGTCTTGGGCCCATCTTTAAGCGTGCCGGGGCTCTCCGGGGCCGTCTTGGGGGCTTCTGGGGGCCCTCTCGACATGTCCTGGGACCTGCCTGGGCGGCCCGGGGCGGCCCGGGGCCAGCCCGGGGCGGTTTTGAGACATTTGAGCCTGCGCCCTTCTGGCACGCACGTGCTCCTGCAATGTAGTAGAGACAAGGGCTGACCGGCTGACCCGTGGCTTACGGCCACACAATGTCTATGACGCAAGTGAGCCCAGACAAGTTCTGAACAGACCGCCCTGCCGGGTGCAAATGTTCAGAAATTGTCTGGGGCCACCCCGCTCCATCTTCACAAAGCATGACGCTGCTGCTCGGGATCCGCGCTGGCACGCTGACTTGGCGTCGTCGTCGTCGTCGTCGTTGTGATCGTGGTCGTCGCCTCAGTCGCGTCGTCATCGCTGTCGCTGTCGCTGTCGTCGTCATCGTCATCGTCGTTGTCGTCGTCAACTCCGTTATCGCCGGCGACGTCGCCTTCCTCCTCCTGTTCCTCCTCTTCCTTCTCCTGCTCCTCCAGCGCCTGCCTCGACGTAGCGCATGGAGGAGCAGTCGTCGTGGCCTTATTGAGGGTCGATACGTGAATGCGACGAACCACTGGCTCCGGGACGGAGAATGGAAAAGCGGTGGGCCTTGATGAGCTTCCTAATTTGATTTCCTGCCAGTGCTGCGTGTTGACGCGTGCTTGCTTGTTGCTCGCGGTAAGCGCTCTTTTCCGCCACCGCTAGCGCTTGGGAGCCGCGGCGTTCAGAGCTTTGGGCGCGTCACCGTTTGCTCTTGAAGTATTCACCCTCCGAGGGTCGTACGTCATCTAGATTCTGGTTTGGATCTCTTCGGGGTTTCTTGTGCCTCCTGTTCGTCCTATTAATCCTACCCCTGCTCGTCTTCCTCCTCCTCCTCCTCCTCCTCTTCCTCCTCCTTGTCCTCCTCGTCCCCCTCGTCCTCCACTGTCCCTAGATCCTTCATCTGCTCGATCTCCGATCGCCATATCGTGGACGCTATGACGACGTTCCCCAGAAGGCGAGCATCCAAGGTCCTTGGAACATCCAAAGCGGCTCTTCTGGGCATGCGATCTGCGTCTCGCCTCTCGCTCGCCCCCGTTTCTCGCAGGCAAGTTCGAAACCACCTAGGGCGTCATGGGGGCCTGCTGTTTGGGGCCTGCCATACGCCTCTCGCCTCTCGTCTGCCCCCCTTTTCGTGGGGCAAGTTTGAAGCAACTTGTGGCCTCTTGGAGGCCGTTTGGGAGACTCTTGGGGCTTCTTTTCGGCTTCCTGGGAGCCTCTTGGGGCCCTCTTGGGCCGTCTTGTGCGCCTGTTGAGCCGTCTTGGGGCGTCTGGGGCCGTCTTGGGCTGCCTTTGGCGCCTCGTGGGCCGTCGTGGGCGGGTCTTGGGGCTGTCTTGAGTGTTTCTTGTGTCGTGGTGGGCGCCTCTTGGAGCCGTCTTCGATCGTCTGGGGGCCCTCAGGGGGGCATCTTGGAGCGATCTTGGGGGCTAGTCTGGCCGTCGTGGACGCGTCGGAGCCGAGAAGCACGACAATGCCCAACATGCATGTGTTCCAGACAGGGAATGTGGCGATTTATGCCTCTTGGGGCTCTCCTGGGGAGTCCTCCAGGGCCGTCTTGGGAACCTCCTGGCCTGCCTTGAAGGCCTCTGGGACTGTCGGGGCGGCCTCTTGAGCGGGTCGGAGCCGTCTTGGGGCCGTCGGGGCGGTCTCTCGAGCGTCTCGGAGCCGACTTGGGGCCGTCGGGACGCCCTCTCGAGCGTCTGGGGCGCCGTCGCGAGCGGCTCGCGGCCGCGTGGGACTCCATTGATCCAGAAACCCCTTCTCGCACGCAGCGTCGTGTCCCAGAAACTCTGGGTCGACGCTCGCCGCTGCACGGGGGACGAGAGCGAACGCGGGGGCGGCACAAGAACGTCTGTCCGCGGCCAGGGTGCCGAGGCCTTAGCGCCCGAGCTCGGGGCCGCGGACAAGATTTAGCGCGCCGCCCTGGCGTTAAAGCACGCCCTCGTCTTTCCGAGCTAGGCGGTCCCGAAGGCTGGGCGGGACCGTCTTGGCTCGGAGACTGGATTCTCACGCGTGCAAAGCCTCCTCGTCCTCCTCCTCCTCCTCCTCCTCCTCCTCCTGCTCCTCCTCCTCCTCCTCCTCCTCCTCCTCCTCCTCACTCCCCCCCTCCTCCTCCTCCTCCTTCCCCTCCTCCTTCCTCCTCCCTCCCTCCTCCTCCTCCTCCTCCTCCTCCTCCTCCTCCTCCTCCTCCTCCTCCTCCTCCTCCTCCTCCTCCTCCCCTCCTCGTCGTCCTCCTCCTCCTCCTCGCTCATTCGGTCTCCTGGAAACACTATTGGATCGTCTTGGGATCCATGTTGAGTGGTCTTTGGCCGTCTAGGCTCCCTTGGGGGTCCTCTGGTCTGTCTTGGTCGCACGCCCCCGTTGGTCGCTCTGGAGGCCTCGTCGGGGCTTTCTGGGGGCCGTCTTCGCGACGTCTTGGAGCCTCCTTGGGGCTATTTGGAGCCCCCTTGGCGGCCTCTTGGGCCGCCAAGAGATATGCTTGGGCTTCCTTGCGGCCCTCCTGAGGGCCTCCTGGCACGCCTGGGGCAACTGTCGAGCGCACCTGTGGCCGTCTTGAGCGGTCGAGAATCCGACGAGACGGCGATCAAGCTTTAATCCTTCAAAGACCTACGGAAAATCGTTTGTTACCTCTTGAAGCTCTTTCAGGAGCACTCTAGGAGCGCTCTGGGAGCGTATTGGGAGCTTCTTCGGACTCTTCGGGGCCTCCAGGGAGCTGTCAGAAGAACTGTTTGAAGTCTCGGGCCCCTCTTGGGGCGTCGTTGGGACCTTCTTGGGGTTTTCTTGGCGACCTCCGTGAAGCTTCCTGGGGGTTATCTGGGGCCGTCTTGGCGCCCTCTTTGATCGTCTTGGGGTCATCTTGGGCCGTCTTGGGAACCTCTTTAGGGCCTCTTTGGCCATCTGGGGCCACTGTGGAGGGCCCCGGTCGCCGTCTTGTGCTGTCGGGAACCCGAAAAGGCGATCAACCTCAAGTCCTTCAATTACTGCGGCGGTAGGACCTCACATAGGAATCCCTTTCCCCTCCAAGAGACCGTCACGAGAGCTCAGGAGGCCCCCTGGAGGCCTCCCGAGTTCTCCAAGAGGCCTAAAAAGAGGCGCCAAGAGGCCCCAAACGGCCCCACCGAGGCTCCAAGAGGCCACGAACGCGCAAGCAAACGCCTGCGATGGCACAATACGGGCCGGCGGAATGAGCGAAGCGTTTAAATAACCCTCATCGTCGTCCTCGTGACTGTTGAGGCGTTTTTTACTGTCTCCGCTGCGTCATTCTCCTCCTCGCCCTGGAGCAGGCTCTGCCCCCGCTCCCTGCGTTGTCCTCGCCTGGCCACCTCCTCCCCTTTCTATTGCATGAGCGCAGCGACGACGCTTACGGCAGGTTCGTGTCGTGCCGACCCCAGCGTTGGTTTTTGACACCGCAGGGATCGTTCAACCTTGAACGATCGGCCGCTGCCGCAACGTCCGATCGTTCAACATCGATCGATTCTGGGTCGCCGGCGGCGTTCAACCTTGAACGCCCGCGCTGGGGTCGCCGCTGGTCGACACGACGCAAACCTATCGTACAGGGTTCCGACGACCCGCCTCGGAGAACATGAGCTGCGAGGGCCCCTATGGGGCGGAGGCTCCCGCCTGAGACGCCCTCCCAATTCACTCACAGACGAGGCTCCCGCCTGATGCTTCTCCCATATTCAAGCCTCAGGGGCCCAAAAGTAACGACAATTGTACATTTTCCGATGGCCCGCTCGGGTTGCAAACCTAAGCTGCGGGCCCCACAGGGCGGGGGCTCCCGCCTGAGACCTCTTCGCGATTCACTCACAGACGAGGCTCTAGCCCGATTCTTCCCCCATATGAATGCATCAGAGGCCCAAAGGTAACGACGGTTACAACTTGTCAGATGACCCGCTCGGATTACAAACATACGCTGCGGGCCCCATGGGGAAAAGGGCGCCAGCCTGAGACTTCTTGTACTTCACTCACGGACGAGGCTCCCGCCCGATACGTCCTCCATATTCAAATCTCAGCAGTTCAAAAGTGTCGACACTTACCGGGTTCCGATGGCCCGCTCGGATTGCTAACATGAAGCGCGGGCCCCATAGGGAGGCCGCCTGAGACTTCCTCGCGATTCACCCACAGACAAGGCTCCCGCCCGATACTCCCCGTAGTCAAGCCTCAGGGGCCCAAATATAACGACTGTTATACGTTTTCTGGTGACCCGCTCCGATTACAAACATAATGCGAGGGCCCCTATAGGGCGGAGGCTCCCGCCTGAGACTTCCTCGCAACTCACTCACAGACGAGGCTTCCGCCATATACTTCCTTCATATTCAGGCCTCAGGAGCCCAGAAGTGTCGACAGTTAAGGGTTCCGCTGGCTCGCTCGGATTACTAGCATGAAGTGCGGGCCCCATAGGGCGCGGGCTTCCGGCTGAGAATTCCTCACAATTCACCCACAGACGAGGCTCCCGTCCGAGACTACACACATGCAAGTGATAAGTATACTGATGTGTGTTGTGATGATGAGGATGAGGCAGGTGGTGATGATGGTGTGCGAATGATTGATGGCGTGAGAGAGCCACTCAGGAGGAGCGAGTGAGCGAGTAGGAGAGATATATAGAGAGAGAGCGAGAGAAAAACAAGTTATGCGTGATTGAGAATGATCGAATGGAGGTGCGATGGTGATGTGAGTGTGTGGGTGTGTAAGTGAGAAGAAACCAGAGAGACCGTCATCAAGAGAGACCGCCATCACGGTCTCTCTCGCAGAGTGAGTGAATAAGTGATGAGCGAATAAGGGTGGTCGAGCGAATGTGAGCGAGTGCGCGACGATGAGGCTTGATGGTACTGATGGGATAGTGGTAGTGATGATGATGATGATGATGATGATGATGATGATGATGATGATGATGATGATGATGATGATGATGATGATGATGCTGATGAGTAAGATGATGATTAATGGTAATGATGATGATGTTTTTTTGGGGGGGGGGTCCAAATAAAAAAACAAGGACACCAGAAAATCATTAATTATTACCGCTGGGGTATCTCTCAGGAGCTCTCTGGGCGCGCTCTTGGGGCGTCCTGGGAGCTTCTTCGGCCTCGTGGGGGCCTCCAGGGAGCTGTCAGAAGCATGTTGGGGGTCTCGGGCCCCTCTGGTTCCCTCTTGGGGCCTCGTTGCCACCGTCTTGGGGTCCTGTTCAACCGTCATGGAACCCTCCTTGGGGCCTCTTGGATCGTCTCGGGCCACTGTGGAAGACTCCTGACGCCGTCTTGGGCGGTCGGGGACCCGAAAAGGCGATCAACCCAAAATCCGTCAACAAACCATGGAAAATCTTTGATGGTTGCCTCTTGATGCTCTCTTTGGAGCCCTCTGGGGGCTTCTTCGGCCGTCCCGAGGCCATCTTGGACAGTCTTGGAGCCCTGTCGGGTCGTCTTGGGGCCCTCCTGAGCATCCCAGAGCCGTCTTAGGGCAGTCTGAGGCCGTCTTGGGGCACTCCGGAGACTCTCAGGACGGCAAGGGGGGTCATGCAGCCACTTGAACCCCTGGCCCTTCTCGCACGCAAATGCCCCTGCAATGCAGGTGAGACGAGTGTGCACCCGTGGAGCAAATCCGCATGCTCCCTGGCAGGGGAATGCGGCGAACCATCTCTACGCCATCTTGGGTCTTCTTCGGCGCCTCTTGGGCAAGAGGCCGCCGTGGGAGGACCCAGAACCACCCCCAGATGGCACCTGGGAGGCCTGCAGGGGCAGCCCGTGGGAGCCAAAACCGTGGGAGGAAACAAAACCGCATTTGCTCACACGGTTCCTACTTCCAGGCGCAGGGCCGGGAGGGCCCCGGGCCGTACTAGGAGGACGTGGAAACGCCTCCAGATGGCGCCCCTGGAGGCCTCCTGGCCCGGCCTTGGGCCGTCTGAGTACTCTCTGGGGCCGTCTTGGGCCGTCTAGGAGCACTCTGGAGCCGCGTTGAAACCCTCTTCGGAGGCCTTTTGGCCCGGTCTGGGGCGATGTTGGGAGCTAGTGGGCCGTCGTGGACGCTGCACGGGCCCAAAAGTCGCGTTTCCTCGACATGTTAGAAAGAAAACCCTACGGAAAATGCGATACATTTGCGCTGGAAAGCCCTGGTGGGCGTGCTCTTGAAACGCTCCCTGAGCCGTTTGGAAATCATTGCGGCCGTTTGGAGGCCGTCTTTGGCTCTCGAACGCAGTCTGGACGCCGCCCTGGGCTATCTTGAGACCGTCCTCGGCCGTGTCGGAAGCCTCTTTGGCGAAACTTGGCGGCCTCTTGGACTCGCTTGGGCTGTCTGGGAAGCGCAGGCTGTCCCTGCGGGCCCTCCTGGCAGGCCTCCACGGGCGCTGCCACCGGAGCAATGCACCACGCGCTGCTCCTGGTTTTGTAAGACAGGAGTGCGAAACCGTGGATTGAATCAACAGCTCGCCGAACCTGGGACTCGCAAGACGTAGATTTGATCCACAGAAAACGGCGTCGAAACCGAACGGCTCGTGGAGAGGGAGGGGGGGAGGGCAAGAGTGCAGGTGGGGGACCTCGGAAGGCCTGAGCGTGCCGCGGCAGCGACTCCGTGGAGGAGGGAGCACGGTGAATTCCGACGAGCTGCGCTGTTGCCCTTGACACCGAATGGACTTCTCAACCCTGCACGATCGGCAGATATGAAATCGCGAGATCGTTCACGTCGGCCGATTCTGGACCAGTGTCGGCGTTTAGCGATGCCGGCGCTGAGGTCACCGCCGCGTCGACGCGACGAAAATCTGCGCACCCCTCTCCTCTGTTCGGTGAAAAGAGACAAGGACCTCGCTCTCAGGTGGCGCTAGACTGGGCGGGCAGCGGAGAAGATGAACGGCACTTGAAGGAAAGAGAAGAGAGCGAGCGCCCTGGGAGGCGCGGAGATGCGTTCCTTCTGCCTCGGTCGCGGCCCAACGGATCCCATGTGCGACGGGCGATCCCCCGACCACCTCCCCGCTTTGGAGGCCCGTCTCCGGCTGCAAGTTTGCGTCTTGCAGTGAGGCGAAGAGGCCGCAACGGGAGAGCGCTGGTCCGCTGGGGGTGGCTGGGGCCGTTCCTGAACACCGTCGCTTCGGGCTGTGAACGGGGCGCTCCAGTCCTCCACTATGACGAGCCACCAGTAAGTACTGCGCCATGACGTTTTTGCTGGGGCGCACGCTCTACACGGGACCCTGCATCACCTCCCTGACATTCGGGGCCTCCTGGAAACTTGTCTGAGGCCTCTAGGGCCACTCTTCGGATATGCTGGGTGTCTGTTGAGCCGTGTCAAAAGCATCTAGGGTCCTTCTGCGGGGCTGTTTCGGGCCTATGGGAAGCTTCTTGCGGCATGTTGGAGGCATCGGGTGCCGTTCCAAGGCTGTCCCCCAGAGCTCCTTTTCAGAAGACAGCCCAGGAAGCTTATTTTGGAATCGCCTTGTAGCCTTCCTGGGGCGTACTTGGGGCTCTCCGAAGCTCTGTGAGGACTCAATTGGGGCCTTCTTGGCGGGCACATGGGGCTCTTCGGGGCCGTCTTCGGGAGCTCTTCGGCCATCTTGAAGCCCTGTTGGGCAGTGTAGGGCTTCTCTTGGGAGCCTGATGGGCAATGACGGGGCGATCTAGGAGGCGCTGGGAGCCGTCTGGGGCCGCCACATATGAAAACCTGCGAATCCAGCAACAACCATGGAAAATCTACGATTGGGGCCTCGTGGGGGCCGCCCCTCTCCGAGCGACGGCAGCACAATGTTGCGCGCATTGATTTGAGCATTGTAGTTTGTAGTATGGGTGACGTTGGGCTCCAACTTCGCCTCCCGCATCTTGCTCAGCAGCGCCAGCCCCCGCTGCCACTGCTCGCCCGTCTCGCACGCGCTGATCCCAGCGCTGTAGCTAACTAGGGCTGACCCGTGGACTCCGTCCACGACATCTTTCTGGAATGGTTTTCGGAGGAACGGCGCAGATTGCACCGACAATCTACAAACACGGCGGCGGCTCGGGCGGCGGCAGCGAGACCGCGCCTTCGTGTCCGAGCTCTTGCAGCGCTCCAGCAGCTTGGCCCCGGCGCACTGCTCGTTCACCCCCCTCCTATTGAGGGCAGTTTCGAAGTCTCTCGGGGATGTGCGTCGAAGTCGAAGCCCATCTGAGGCGTCTCAGGAGCGCCTGGGGAAGGGCTCGGGAGGCCATCGGGGAAAACCACCGAAAGCGCCGGGGAGCGCAAGGATCTACAGGGAGGGCCCAAGAGAGCTCAAAGAAAATGTGAAATTCAGTAAACTCGTAACAGAAACCGCTGTTGGGTCGGTCATCACCTCCGGGCACGCCTAGATGGTGCGATCCAGTCGCATCGTCGCCAACGGGAGGGTTTGTTCGCCAAGTCCCATTCTGCTCGCCCAGAGGGTATATGGTTCGAAGAGTGCGGAGACGTGCTTGGGTCATATCAATTGGCTGCTGTCCCAGGGGTCCAGTCTGGTTGGCCCGAAGAGTTTGCCAAGACCCCTGGGGGAACAGAATGGCACAGCATATCGGGCAAAGGGGGGCGGCAGCTGGCCCGTCAGACCCGGCGTTCGTCTTCTGCCCAAGCGGCGCGGGGCCCACGGGCCCCAGGGTTGGCAGCCCGCTGGGTTTCCTCTTGTTCGCCCACAGGGTTGGAGGAGGCCTCCAGGCGAACAAAATGGGGCAGGACAATGAATGTCGCAGGCTCCCAGCCCCCCAAAGTGTTCGCCCGAAGGGTGTGGGGCCGTGTTGGCTCCCTCAAAGGGCCGTCTTGGAGCCGTCTAGGCCCGTCTTGAGGGCGCCGTTTGCCGTGATGGGGCCGTCTTGGTTCGTCGTGGGCCCCTCATGGGCGCGTCCGTAGGCCGTCCTGGGCCCATCGGGGTCCTTGTTGGCACTATCTTGGGGCTGTCTTGGAGCTCTTGAGGCTGTCTTGGAGCCGTCTTGAGCCGTCGCAGCGCGCCTTGGGTTGTGCTGGGGCCGTCTTGTCCTATCTTGTGGCCTTCCTGGGCGTTTCCTCGGACCCTCCTGGGACTTTCTGGGGCCTCTTGGGGCATCCGACCGCCGAAATGGCGGGAAACGCCAAGGCTGTAACAATAAACAAAATGGAAAATAAACGATTTTGCGAGCTGGGGTTCTCTTGCCATCTTGGCCCGTCTTGAGGCTCCGACTGGGCGCCTCCTTGGGCCGTCCTGGGCCTATCTGTGGCCGTGTTGGCACCCTCCTGGGACCGTCTTGGAATCGTCTTGGGCCGTCTTGAGCGTGCCTTGGGCCGTGCTGGGCCCGTCTGGGGCCGTGTTGGCACCCTCGTGGAGCCGTCTTGGAGCCGTCCTGTCCCCGGCCGTCTTCAGCGCGCCTTGGGCCGTGCTGGGGCGGTCTTGGCCCGTCTTGGGGCCCTCCTGGGGGCATTTTGAGTCCTTTTGGGGTGGCCTTGAAGTCTTCCAGGGCTGCTTGGAGTGTCCGAAAGCTGAATTGGCGGCAAGCGGGAAATCTTTGGAAAAGCCTAGGACAAAAAAAACGATTTTGACCTCTCGGGATCCTCTTGTGAGGCCTTTTGGAGGCCTCTCGGAGCGCCTTGGCGCTCGCTTGGGTCGTGTCGTGCCCATTTGAAGGGCCTCGTGGACGCTCTGTGGGGCTTCCCGGAGCGTGCAAGGACCGTCTGGAGCCCTCATGGCGCCGTGTGGGGCCCTCATGGCGCCATCTGGGGGGCTCCAAGGGTCCTGGAGCGCCCGAAAGGCTCCCAGAGCGCTCCGGGGCGCTCTGGACCGCTCCCCAAAAAACAAGCATGGAAGGGCCCCAGAGCGTTGAAAACAGCTCTTGTGGGCATGCGGTCCGGCCCTCGCCTCTCGTCCGACCCCCCCCTCTCTTAGAGGCAAGATGGAAACCACTTAGGGCCTCTTCGGGGCCGTTTGGGGGCCTCTTTCTGGCCTCCCGGGAATCCCTTGGGTCCCTCTTGGGCCGTCTTAACCGCCTCTTGGGCCGTCTTGGGGCCGTATAGGGCCGCCTTGGGTTCGGACCGTCTTGGGGCCGTCTTGGGCCGTTATTGACCGCTCTTTGGGCTGCTCGGTTGCCTCTTGGGCCGTCTAGGGCGTCTCTGGAGCCGTCGCGGGCCCGCCTCGGGCCGTTTGGGGGCCCTCCTGGGACTCTGGGGGCGTCTTGGGGCGATCGGGAAGGCCTGTATAGCCATCTTGGACGCGGTGAAGACAAAAAGAGCGAGCATATCCAAAATTCACGTTTTCCGAAGGGAAGGGGCCAAAATTTGTCTCTTGGGTCCCTCCTGGGGGTCCTCCTGGGCCGCCTTGGGAGCCTCCTGGCCTGCCTTGGAGGCCTCTGGGGCCGACCTGGGCCTCGGTTGGGTCCCTCGTGGTGTGTCCGGGCGCCCTCGTGGGCGTTTCTGAGCCGTCTCGGAGCGGCCTGGGGGCTCGCAGGGCGGCCTGGAGAGCCTGGCGGACATTTCAAGACAGAGGACCTTCTGGCACGCATCATGGCCTTCGGCGAAATCCGCCACCGTGCCTGTGCCTGGGGCTGGGTAATGGCTCAGAGGCGTCTGGGGTCCCTCTTTGAGGCAGCTTTGGGGGGGGGCCGTCTTGGGGCTTGCTTTGGGCTTCTTGGGGGCCTCTGGGGACCTCTTGGCGTTCCCTTGGGGGGGGTTGGGGGCCTTGTGTGGGCGTATGGGGGCCCAGGGCTCGGAGTGACAGGGTTTTTCCTTGTTCTTTGGCCCCCTCTTGGGCCTGGCTTGGGGTCCTCTGGGGCCGTCTTGGGCGCCTCTTGGGCCATCTTGGGCCTCCCTGGGGCGTCTGGGGACGCGCTTGGAGGCCTGTTGGGCCGTCCTGGGGCGGTCTTGTGGGTCGCTTCGGCCGTCTTGGAGCGTCGGCTAGCCGAGAAGGCGAGAAGGCGAAACTCCTTCAAAAACCTAAGAAAAATAAAGGATGTTGGCCTCTGGGGGTATGCTTCGGAGGACTGTTGGAGGCTCTTGGAGGCCTCTTGGGCCTTTGTTGGGGGCCTCTAGGGGGCCTCTTGGACGCTCCTTGGAGCCTCTTATGGCCACTGCGGCGCGTCTTTGGGCGGAGGGCTCGATTTGTGACGCTCGGGGGCCAGGATCTTCGTGAGGGGTGTCGAAAAAGTGGCCTTCCAGGGGGGGGGCAGTGCTTGCCCATTTGATGACGTTGGTCTCCACCATCGCCTCCCACATCTCGCTCAGCAGCACCAGCGCCCGTTGCCACTGCTCTCCTTTCCCGCACGCGCTAATCCCAGCATTGTAGCTGATGACGTCGGGCTCCAGCTTCGCCCCCCGCATCTCGCTCAGCAGCGCGAGCGCTCCCTGCCACTGCTCGCCCTTCTCGCACGCGCTGATCCCAGCGCTGTAGCTGACTAGAGCTGCCCCGTGGACTACGTCCACTTGCGGGGTGAAGCGTGTGAGGGCCTCTGGGGGTGTCATTACAACGTGGGGCTCGACCCTCGCTGCTGTTCCTGTGCGCTGCCCCTAACTATGGTTGCATGCTTCGGGTCTCGTGCTGCTGCCCTCGGTTACTGGGGGCATTTTGAGCCGCCCCAGGATAATGTTGAGCCAGTTGAGCCACCTAAAGACTGTCGTCGGGCCAAGGCTGGAAAGCAAGAAGCAGCAGTGGGTCTTCTTGTCTAACAGTTGTCCATGGTGCACGGGGCCGCCCGAGGAAGTCAGAGGATGCGCGCGGGCTGCGTGGGCTGGGGAGAAGATCGACGGCACTGCGGAGCATGCCCCCCAATGGCCAGCCTGTCCAGAGCACTCTCAGAAAGAACTCCCAGACGAATCGCCCATTCAGGAGCCTCTGCAAAGGAAGCAGGAACATCCGAGACAAGAGGCTCCGAAAACGGCGCCAACAGGGTCCCAAGACGGCCCCGTAGGCCCCCAAGACGGCCAAGATAGCCTCCAAGACGGCCCTGCCACTACAGTAAGAGGCGCATGGGCGCCTCATTCTCCTGGGTGGCAGGCGCGGTCCCAGAGCTCCCTGAGAGACCTTCCTTCGGAAGCCTTGTGGAGGCGATGTTGGGGGTGCCTTGAGGCGTCTCGAGGCTCTCTTGGGGCCTGATTTGGGCCTCCTGGGAAGCCTTCTGGGGCGTCTGGGGGGCCTCTTGGGGGCCAGCTGGTGGTATCGGGGATGATCCTGGAGCGGAGGGTGCGAACTGTCAGTTCGAGTTCACCCTCGTGGGGCCCTCTTGGGGGTTTCTTGGGCCGTTTCGGGGCCATCGTGGGCTGCTTGGAGATCTCTAAGGTGCCTCTTGGGCCATCTTGGCTCGATCTTGGGAGCTCCAGGGCTGGCTTGGAGCGTGGGGACACCGAAAAGGCGAGAACGCTGAACCCCCCTTCACAAACCCAAGGGACACGACTGATGTTGGCCTCTCGAGGCCAGTCGTCTGGCACGGCCGGGCCTTCCGCGGCGTCTGGGGAACCTCTTGGGGACCAGCTGGCGGTGTCTGGGATCATCCTGGAGCGGGGGGCGCGAACTGTCACTTCCAGTTCCCCCTCGTGGGGCTCTTTTGGGGCCTCTTGGGCCGTTTTGGGGCCCTCTTGGGCTGTTTGGGAGCTCTCTGTGGGGCCTCTTGAGCTATCTTGTCGCGATTTTGGGAGCCCGAGAACGCTGAAACCCTCCAAGAACCTTAGGGAGGTCACTGATTCTGACCCCTCGGGGCCCTTCTGGGGAGCGTCTTTGAGCCGTCTTCCAGCATTGTGGGCCTTCTGGGCCTTCTGGGGGGCCAGCTGGAGGGATCGGGAATCATCCTGGAGCGGAGGGCGCGTCTCGTGGCCCTCTTGGGGCCGTCTTGGGGTCCTTCTTGGGGTCCGTCTTGGGGCCCTCTTGGGCTGTCTGGGAGCACTCTTAGGGGCCTCTTGGGCCATCTTGGCGCGATCTTTGGGGCCCTGTGGCCGGCTATATGCGTGGAGACTCCGAAGAGGCGGGAACGTTGAAAACCGTCACAAGCCTTGGGGGCATGAGTGATTTTGGCCTCCTGAGATGCCTCTTAGATCCCTCTTGGACCGTCTTTCGGCACTGTGAGGCCGTCTGAAAGCCATATTGGCGACCTCTTCGACAGTCTGGGGGCGTTTCGGGCCATCTTGGGCCTTCTTGGGGCCCGCACCGATTCTGAGCCATTGGTCCCCCCGCTCTTCCCGCACGCGCGACCCCCGGCATTGCAATATAGACTAGGGCTGACCCGCGGCCTTCCGGCCACGGAGTCTGCCCGCGACGGCGTGGACGTGGAAGTGGAGCGTCTCCGGGGCCTTGCGGTGGGGGGGAGGTCGGAGGGGACGGTGTGGATGGAGGAGGTGGCCGCTGGAGGGGGGAGGCGGGCGAGGGACGCAGGCAAGCAGGCCTGAAGGCAGGAACGCGGTGGTGGAGGCGGTGTCACTGGACGCACACCCATGTAGGCACGACATGTTGTGAACAGAAGCTGCTTGTCACGCCGCGCTCTGTGTTCATCATAGCTTTTGCGGGGCGGGTCGCCGTGATAATCGTATCTGCTCTTGGCCAGGGCCGAATGGTACTCTTATCGGGTAGTGTGGTGTGAATGGGGCTGGCGGGTGATGGCAAGTCCCTGTTCGTTCGTCTGGAGTTTAGACGGCCTAAGAGGCCCGCAATAAGGCGCCGAGACGGCCCGCACTGGAGCCGCTTAGGCGCCCGGCGCACGGAAGGATCACCGATAGGACGCTGGAATAACTGTCAACTTGGTTTACTTGGGCTGCGCGTTTGGAGCCTTTCCGGGGTGTCTGGACACTCTGGGGGCCTTCTTCGGGGCATGCTCGAGACATCTCTGCGGCTCCGATCTGCTTTTGGGCAATTTTGAGCGCCCTCCTCGTCCTCCCCTGGATCATTCATCACGTCGATCTTCGTTAGGAGCCATGTCGGGGTGTCTGGACCCTCTTGGGGCCTCCTTCGGGTCATGCTCGGGACATTTCGGTGGCTTCTATCGGCTTTGGGGGCCACTCCTGGGGGCATCTTGGGGCTGCCGGGGGCCGTCTTGGGTGTCTCTGGGGTCGCCTCTCGTCCGCCCGCTCGATGAGAAGCAATGCTCAGGCCACAGACCTCTTGGGGGCCGTTTGGGAGCCTCATGTCGGCCTCCTGGGGGTCCCTCGGGGCCCTCTTGGGCCGTCTTGGGTGCCTTTTGGCCTGTCTTGGGGCCACCTGGGGGCGCCTTGGGCGCCCCTGGGGCCGCCTTGGGGTCGTCTTGGGCCATTATTGGCTGCTCTTGGGGCTATCGTGGGTGTGTCTTAGGCCGTTTCGGGCGCCTCTGGAGACGTCCCTTGGCCGTGTAGGGGCCGTTTTGGAGGCCCTCCTGGGGGCCTCTGGGCGCGTCTTGAGGCGAGCTGGGGGGCCTGTATAGCCGTCTTGGACGCTGTGAGGATGAAGGAACAAGACATAGTGAGAATGTGCGTTTCCCGCAGGGAATTGGATGGTTTGGGCCTCTTGGGGCTCTCCTGGAGGCCCTCCTGGGCTGTCTTGGGGGCCGCTGGGGCTGTCTTGGGACTCCCAGGGGTGCTCTGAGGCCGCCTTGGCGCCACATCGAGCCTCTCGGAGCCGTCCCGAGGCCGTCTAAGGCTGTTTTAGAAGCGTCTGGACCCCCCCTGAGACGTTTTGGGGTTGGAACCGACGGTCAAGACAGAACCCTTCTCGCACGCAAAGGTCGCTGCATTGTAGAAGAGATGACGTTGGGCTCCAGCTTCGCCTCCCACATTTCACTGAGCACTGACAGCGAGTGTTGCCACTGCCCGCTTTTTCTGCACGCGCTGACGGTCGCCATGTAGTGACTTGGGGCAAGTTGCACACCTAATCGAATTCCTTCGCGGAGCAACCGCAGTGCTGCGCTCCATTGTTTTGTCCGAGCGCAGTTCTTGATCGACGCATCGAAGGAAGTGGCGCCTTCTCGAGATCCTCGACCGGTGTCCAGCATCGGAGAAGACAAGGCACCGCGGCATGAGGCAAACATACCTTGGGTCAAAAGACTTGATTCAGAGACTTGAGCCAACATGGCTACGGAAAGAACGCCAATCCACAGCCCAGGAGGAAACACGGGTCCCAAGGAAAGGGTCCAGACCTATGGGGGGAGCACGTGAGGACAATCCACGTCGTCGGATGTCTGGGGGGCACTGCCAGAACTACCCCAATATGTATCAGCGATGCTGCAACACGTCCTTCTGTCCCAAGCCCCCTCCTCACAAGTCCCTGCAGCACTGACCGTCCAGATTGCTGAACAAAAAGCGCTCCAAGCCTATCGGGGCCTATCTGAACTGCGTACAACCTCGACTGGAATTTGGGCATCTAGGTCCAAGCGCTGTGTCTAAGCCCTTCAGGAAGGTCAGGGAGACGGCCCCTGTCACCACGGAAGCGCCCCCCGCCCCCCCCCCCCGAACGAGCAGTGGATGGGGCCTTGAAAGAGAGAGTCCACATTTGGAAAAGGGTCGCCAAACATCCTTGCTATTGCTGCGTAGTGTTGAACATGTGGCCCCACATATTCAAGAATTCTCGAGCGAGATCGCGCAACTATCCGCATCGAATCCATGTCGAAACCCTCTTCATCTGCTGTGTTGCGTCTTCGGGGGACCTCGTCTGTCACGTCGCGCCCATATCCGCGTCGATTCCGTGTCGAACCCATGTCGGACTCGTCGAATCCTCGTCGAATCCGCGTCGAATCCACGCTGAATCCATGTCGACTCCACTTCGAATCTGCGTGGAATCCACGCCGAACCAACGTCGAATCCACATCGTGCCCGCGTCAGGCACGAGAAAAGACATTTTTGGGGGGACAGGCGAGGTCCCCCGAAGATTCAACGTAACTTCGTTCTGTCATGGGGAATTCAATCGGAGACGCAGTGACCCGGGTCAATCCAAAACCTGGTCAATCGAGCTTTGCAGGATTCTGCTGGATCCTGCAAAATCCGACGCTCTGGCTGACCCCCGCTTGCATTGACCCCCGTACCTTGAGCCCCGATTCAAGCTTGAACGCCTTAGCCAGCGTCGCTGGCGCGCCATCGCCGCGTGAACCCACCATATCCCTCTGCGTCCGACTAGAGGGAGACTTCTTCAGCAGGGACCGGCCATCCTGGCATTCCCTTGGGCCTACCACGAAATGGTCTCAGAACAGAAGAATGTTCTAGAAGTAACCACATTGTTCTCAGAACATAAACCCGAAGTCTTTAAACAAAACGGTCTCAGCCAGAAATGTTATGATAATACTTCGCGCAGACCACAGAAGGTTGTTAGAACATCCTTCAGTGGGCCTCCAATTAGGCAAGCCAGAACGCTTCGCCACTGGTTGACAAGCTTGAAAGCCTTCGCCAGCGTCACCAGCGCGCCATCCCCGCATGAACCCACTCTATCCCTCTTCGTCCCACCCGAGGGGTGCTCCCTCCACCCCCTCAGAAGAGCCCAGACTCGAATCGGAGAGCCGGATCGGCGATCGGCATGAATGGGTCCAGCGGAAGTCGGCAGCCGAGCCGGGAGAAGTCGAATCGTCGGACCTCGGCAGGCTCGCAGGCCTCCACTGAGACCTCCTCCTCCTCCTCCTCCTCATCCTCCTCCTCCACCTCTCCTCATCCGCCTTCTCCTCCTCCTCCTCCTCCTTCTCCTCCTCCTCCACCTCCTCCTCCTCCTCCTCCTCCTCCTCCTCCTCCCCTCGGAACCCAAATCCGAATCGAACCGGATCGGAGGAATCGAAAGGAGCCCTCCCCCCGCTGGCGGGGGCTGGCCGTCGACGCCCACGATGAAGTCGCCGGGCTGCACCCGGCTCCTGGGCAGCTCCTGCGCCGGCCCGGGCGCCGAGTGCGGGGGCGGGGGGGAGGGAGCGAGGAGCAGCGGGAGGGAGCGAGGAAGAGACGCGCAGCGAAGCGAAGCGAATCGAACGCCGGAGTCGTGCGCGCTCCTCTGGGGAGCCCGCCCGTGCCCATTGGGGCACGGCGTGGAGGCCGTGGCCTCAAAAATGTGATACTTGGGCTGACTCACGCGATAATCACCACTCAGGAACGAGGAGGAGCGGGGAGGAGAAGGGGGAGGAAGAAAATGTACCCATCCCACTACCCTTCTCTCGTTTTCCCCTCTGGGGGCCTCCTGGGAGCGATGAGGAGCGAGGAGGAGTGAGGGGCAACGGTAGGGGGGGACTGGCACAGGGGGGGATGCATCGACCTGGAATCGGCGATACATCGTCGATACGATAAATCGGTGATAGGCCCCCGATAGTGAAACCGCACCTTCGTGGACTGATTGGGGCTATCGGGCCCCTATCGGAGATCAATGGGCGATTGGGGGTCGATGCGCCCCCCCCCCTACGCCTATCCCCCCCGCATCGTTGCCTCCGAAGGATGAGGAAAAGGCCGCTACATTTCCCCCCATTTTCCCCTTTTTCGCCCCTCCTTGGATGCCCTCGTCACTACCGCTGGATTCGCCTCGGAATTCGAATCAGAACGCACCCCGGGAGAGGTCCAGGGAGTAGTATCCTTACCTCGTGTCTTCACTTGGGGAGGAGGAGGACGGAGGATTTAGGAGGAGAAGGAGGAGGAGGGAAGAAGAAGAAGAAGAAGAAGAGGAGGAGGAGGAGGAGGAGGATAACGAGAGAGAGGATACAGAGAGAGAGAGAGAGAGAGAAGATGGGGATGACGCGGAGGACGGGGAGCGAGGAGGAGGAGGGGAGGAAATGTAGAGAGAGGTGGATGAGGCGGAGGAACACAAAAAGCGAGGAGGAGGAGGAAGAGGAGGAGGAGGAGGAGGAGGAGGAGGAGGAGGAGGAGGGCGCGAGGTCCTGCAGGTGTCCGCCGCCGCCTACAACAACTGGGGGGCCTGGAAATCAGGCGCGGCACTAGTCGCCGCCGAATCCACCCTTAGGGGGATCTGTGTACGGGGATGTCGGCCATCCTTGATATGCCTCAGGGCCGCTGCCCGCGGTCTACTAGGTCTCCCAGGTGACGGGCCCATTGCACGGTGTCAACAAAACTGGGGGCTGGCGGGTGGAGGCCGAACCGCCACAAACGAGACAAAACACGAAAGGGCCTTCCGTGGCCAATCCATGGCCACTGCCTGACCACCTGGGGACTCCAGGGGCCCAAGGGTCCTGGACGGGGCACCTGGCCCCTGGCCCTGGCCCCTGGGGGCGGCCCTGGCCCCTGGGGGCGGCCCTCCACCGTCCACCCGCCGAACGCAGGCCCACCGTGGCCCCCCCCAGGACCCGAGACGACTCGGCAGCGCTCGGAACCTCAGGCCTTTGCCCACTAGACGCAGTGGGGCCCCATCGGGCCCCCAGGAGGGCCGACAGCCCCAACCTCGACCCCCGCCACAAGCGGCCCACGGGCGCGTCGGCACCGCCGAGCGCGCCACGAATCCAGGGTCTCGCGTCCGAAGGATGGGCCGCGCGCCACGCGCGGGCCAAGGCGGTAGCAAGGCCTCCAAAGGGCCCACCCCGAGGGGGCCGCGAGCGGTCCACGAGCCTCCGCGGAGGCGACGGAGTCCAGGGTCTCGCAGCCGCGGGCCGAGGATGGCCAACCTCAGGCCGAGGCGACGCGTCCCGCAAGACGCGATCCGCAGCACGGAGGGCGACGGCGATGGCACCCTCACGCGCCGAAGGGAGCGGCGCCGCGGCAAGAGAAGCGGGGTCGGAGGGAGGGGGGAGGGCCCTCGCACGGGCCATGAGGGAGCGGAGGGCGGAGGGCGCACATTCCTCCAGTCGGCGCCTCGCCGCGGGAGTCGCGGCCGAGGCCGAGCAGGCTGTGCGCGCCCAGTCCTCGGGCTGACGGGCGAGGCGGCGTCGGCGGCCGACGTCGGCGGCCGCCACCGGTGGTGGCGGGAGGCTCTGCCGACACGTGCGGCCCTGAGCCTCTTCAGACAGGGTGCCCAGCGCGGCCATGTGCCACGACAGCACAGAGGCCCCCCCCACGGCGTCGGGGAGCCGCACCTTGTGGAGGTCCGCCAGCGCAGCAGGGAGCCTGTGCTCTCGAGCCCCCTGCTTGGCAAACCAGTCCGCCCACTCATTTCCGAGGAAGCCCATGACGTCGCGGCACGGGTCCTCGGCGTACTCGATGCACGACAACGCGTCAGGCGGCGCCTGGTCCTTCCTCACCTCGAAAACCTGCCTCCTGATGTCCGCGTAGGTGCCGACCGAGCTGGCAGGGCGAGGGTCCCACTCCAGGATCTCGCGCTGCAGGCCCGCCAGGTCGGTGACCAGGAGCTTCATGCTTGGCAGCAGCCGCAGAGCCTGCAGGAAGGCCCACTGCTCGGCCCTGCCCACCGTCTGGCGGGCGCCAGGAAGGGCCCCGCAGGCGGCGCGCCTCGGCAAGCCCATCGCGTCCAGCTGCACAATCGCCCAGCTGCGTCGCATGAGCTCGGGCGTGGCGGGCTCGTGCCCCGAGCCGTCTGAGTAGACGACCGCAGTGTCGATGCCGTCGTCCATCGCCCAGTCGCCCCACAAGAAGACGTCGGCCACCCTGGCCGCCGCTGGCACCTCGTGCGGCACCATCGGCAGGCCAACGATGAGGTCGAAGCGGCCGTAGTCGGCGTCGCCCAACTCGATGTGGCACCTGTCCCGCGTGCGCTGCTTCGTCCTCAGCTGCTGCTCTGTCATCTCTGCTAACGCCGCGCCCGTCTCGGGCTCGCCGCCAATGGAGACGACCCCCCCGCGCTCGTAGAACCAGTGGCCCCACGTCCCAAGCGTCGACTCCACACAGAAGGGGCAGCGGGGGCTGCGGGTGTAGCCCGCCACGTGCCGCCGCACCGCGCCCCAAGCGCCGCCCGCCCACGCCTTGCGCAGGTGGCCGGCGCGCGGCCCGCGGATCTTGGCCCTGGGCGGCGCCAGCACGTGCCTGGCCGCACGCATCCAGACCCTGCCTGGCCCCTGCAGGCGGCGGGGTGGCCTGGCGGTGGCTGAGGATCTGCCGCCCCTGCCATCTGGCCACCCCCTCGCGCGCCAGCCTGCGCGCCTCCAGGGGGGGCAGCCCGAGGAGCTCGACTCCGCGCCTATCGTCGCCCAGGAGGACCAGGCAAGAGCGCATGTCACAGCCGACGAGCGGCCCGCGCGCCGCACGCCGCGTCGGCGCTGCGCCCGCCCACCTCCGCCGGGGCGCCGCCGAGGCCTGCTGGAGCCTGACGAGCGCGAGGTGGCCGTCCCAAACATGGGCGGCGTAGGCCGCCACTGGGCCTGCCGTCGCCTCGCGCATCGGGTCGAAGAACGGGTCCTTCTGCGTCGCGAGGCACGCCGCGATGGAGGCCGCCCCTTCGCCGCCGCGCCCGCTGCAGAGCATCGCTGCCCTGTGCCGCAGCTCCGCCAGCTGCGCCTTGCCGGCGCCGCCGACCGCCGCGCCGTGCGCCGCCGACGGAAGCAAGCCCGTCCGCCAGAGGGCCTGGACCATGGGCCCCGCCATCCTGACCAGCGCGTCGACGCGGCGCTGCCGCGCCTGGAATTCGGCCACCCTGGCTTGCGCCACTGGCCTGCGCACAGCCTTCCCGCGCTCGTCGTGGCCCAGGTTGCGGGGCCCCCGCCGCTCGGGCAGCGCCAGCGCGGACGCGGCTGGCCGAAACTCCTTCCTGGCCTCCTGCGAGGTGGCCAAGCAGCCCGACTTGGCCATCTTGACCTGCATGCCCAGCGGCCGCACCTGCTCCGTGAAACCCTGGACGGCCGCGCGCAGCTTGGCCACGCGCCCGTCGCCCACTTGGCCGATCCACTGCATCGCGAGGTCGTCCATCAGCGATCGTGGGGCCAGCTGCTCCGCGACGCCGCGCAGGCGCACCGCGGCCTCGATCAGCAGCAACGTCAGCAGCGCCGCGCTGCACGCGCAGCCCGCGAGGAGGCTGCCGTTGGCCACCACGTCGCGGCTCCAGGACCCATGGGCCTGGAGCGCCCGCGGGCGGCGCCCTGAAATAACTGGCGCACATCCAGACCAGCCTCATGGGAAAGCCGAGGTCGCGCGCCTGCTCGATCAGCGGGCCGATGAGGACGCTGTCGAAGGCCTTGTGGGGTCCATGATCACCGCCCAACTGGCCTCCCCGAGGAGATGCGCGATCTCCGCCTGGATGTTGTGCTGGAGCGCGGACGCCGTAGCAGTGGCCCTGCTCCGCGTCCCGAAAATCGCCTGGTCGGGGTTGTCCCTGACCCAGTGCTGCGACACCGGCCGGCGCACCCGCGCCCAAACACGGATGATGGTGTTGGCCAGGGTGATCAGGCGACGCCCATTGCCATCTGGCTCGGGCAGTCGGACCATCACGCGGAAAATCCTCTCCGACGGCCAACGCAACAACTCCTCGCACCGCGTGACCAGGGCCGCCAGCGCCGCCATGGCGTCGTCCGACGCGAACCACAACTGCCGCGGATGCAGTCGGGACCGGCCCGCGGCCGTCCGCCACGGGAACGCGCCCAGCGCGCGCCTGACATCCACGCCGCTGATCGAGGGCAGCTCGGGCCAGCTGGCCGCGCCACCTGGGGTGGCCGCTCTGGCGGCGCCTTGGGCCACCCACAGGTGCTCCCACTCGTCCATGGCCTGGTCGGCGAGCTGGGCAGGCCCGCCCTGGCAGTCCGCCCCGACGAGCTCGAGGCGCTCCTGCGCCCGTGTCGCTCTGCGCGCCCCGCTGGCACCGTTGGCGGATCAACTCCTTGCGCCACTTGGGCGTAGCCGCCTGCGAAGCAGCTCGCCATGCCGCGCGACGAGCTCGGCCACGCGCGCCTCGAGGCCGCCCAGCATGAAGAGGCCCGGGCCGGGGCGGTAAAGGTCGGCAACGTCGCCGGGGACCTCGTCCCACACTTGCTCGGTACCCTGCACGCGTCGGAAGAAGGCCATCAGCGCGGCCAGGTTCTTGACCACGCCAGGCAGGGCTGCCCGCGGCTGGCGCTCGGTAAACATCACCATCCTCGCCAGCTGCGCGCGCGCAGCGCGTGCTTAGCCCAGCGGGCGACCGCGGCCCAGGCGAGCAACGCAAGGCTGGCCCTGAGCCGCTTGCGCGGCGGCGCCCACCGCAGCCGCGCCCAGCGGGTCTCGGGCGGCCCCGCGCGCCCTTCGCGCCGCGCCCTGCCGTCGCCCACGAGGTCCCAGGCGTCGCTCGATCCCAGGCAGCGTCGTGCCCCGGCAGTCCTGCAGCTCGCCCCGCGCAGTCTCCTGGCCGATCTGGCGACGCGCCGCGCCCCGCAGCCCCACCGGCGGCGGCCCCGCGCATCCCGCGCGCACGGGGGGCAGCGGGGCAGGCTCCCTGGGCAAGCGCCGCCACGGGGCGCGATCCTCACCCAGGATCGCGAAGTCCACGGCGAGGCGCGCGGGCAGGAGAGCGCCCTCCCGCACGAACGCCCCGCCGATCCTCAGGATGCGGTTGCTGCAGACCACCGCGTAGTCCAGCACCCCCCCGGCAAGGACTTGCAGAGCGCGGGCGCCTCGGGTGCAACGACCGCCCCTGAGGCGACCCCCAGCCAGTGCAAGGGCAGCTCCTTTGGCGTCATGCCCCCATCCCCGATCACGATCCAGTCGTAGCCCAGCCGCCCCAGCTCCGCGAGGTAGAGCGCCAGCGCGTGCAGTTGGGCGAGGTTGACAGGGCCCTCCGCACCGACGGCTGGGACCAGGTACGCGCTCACGACACCGCCAGCCTGCCGCGCGCCAGGGCGCCCGCCTGCCCGCGCCTCCAGCCGCCGCTCGGCATGGGCGCTGCGCGGACGCCAACGTCGCTGCGGGCCCGGACCGCCACGCCGCCGCTGGCGCCGCCGCGCTCGGTCTTCTCCGCGGCCGCAAGCACCCCGCGCCAGCCCAAGTCCTGCAGGTCGCGCTCCAGCTGCGGCGGCTGCTCCGCCTTCGCGCGGTGCTCCTGCGCGGCCACCAAGAAGCGCTCGTCGCACGTCGCCGCGAGCATGTTCCTGACCGGCCCCACACTGTCGCCATTGGCCGTCGCGATCAGGCCGCGCTCCCGCGCGAACCGACGGGCCGCCTCCTGTCCTGCAGCGGCGTCCGCAGCAACCTCGGGACCCGCCGTCAAAGAGTTCCCCGACTCGAGGCCCCGCGCGCTCGGCGCCGCGAGCGGGGGGGGGCCTCGCGCCCCCGCCCTCGCGCTGAAACGCCCGCGGCAGCGCGGCGCGGGGCGCCAGCGGACCTGCCCCACGATTCCATATGGTGGGCTGCCTGGGCGACGAGCTGCCAATCCCTGCTCGGGCACTTGGGGCTGGGCCTCCTGGGCTGCCACCTCGTGGGCGCGCCTGCGCCGCCTCCGCCGCGCCTGCGGCAGCCTCATGCACCTGCGCGCCACCCCGCGCGCCTCCTGCCGCGGTGCGTCGCCCTGCTGCCCGCGCGCGCCCGTCCCCGGGAGCCCGCCGGCGGGGGGCCACGAGCGAGGGGGGCCTCGCACGCCTGTTCATCCTGATGCGCCCGCGGCAGCGTGGCGCCTGGCGCCAGCGGGCGTGCCCCGCAGGTACATGCGGTGGGCTTGCTAGGCGCAGAGCTGCCAGTCCCTGCTCGGGCACCATGGTCGGCGAGTCGGCTGGCCCACGGGACAGCATGCTGCTCGCCAGCGCCGACTCCATCGACGCCGCTGGCCGCCGACGTCCCAAGGGACAATTCGTCGCAGGCTGCCCCACAACTACCTGTCCCACGTCGCGTGCCTTTGGGGGCCGCCCCCAGTGGGACTGGTCCCCCCCCAGGCCGCGCCACCCGCCGCCACCCGGGTCGAAGGGCACCTCCGACACCGCTGCGAGCCCAGCTGCACGTACGCTTGCCACCGGTCGCCTCCAACGCCGCCGCCGCGGCCTCGGCGCGCTGGCCAGCGCGGCCACCTGGGCCGCCCTCCTCGCCTGGGCGCCTGGCCACCGCTTGCGGCCGCGCGCCATCCTCCTCCACGATGCGGATCATCTCGCCGTGCTCCTGCACCAGCGCCTCCGCCGACCAGGGCGACCCGTCCCCGTCCTGGATGCTGTAGTCGCTCGTCGTCATGGCGACCACTCTATCAGCGCGGCCCAGCTATGGGCTGCCGGCCGCGGATCGCGCGGACGGCAGCAAGCTCGGCATCCACATTGCCACCGGCCTGAGCAGCGGCGCCCGCAGCGTCCAACTCCGCGTCCAGCTCGTCGACGGACATCGTGCTGACGTCAGGCGCGGCGCCGCCACCAGCGCCACCGTGGGGCGGGGGCTGCACTGGCTCGCTGGCCTGGCCAGGCGCCGCCACTGGCGCGGCCGCGGCGCCAGCTCCTCCGCAGCGCCAGGGGCGTCCGCAGGCTTGCCAGCCGCCGCGGCGGCCGCCGCGCCGCCCGCAACGACCTTGATGCACTGCCCCAGCCGCGCGACGACCTGGAGCGCGTATGCGGCCGCCGCCGCCTGCTCTTTGCCGAAGTCCAGCAGCAGGGCGGTGAGCTAGGCAGGGTCGGCCTCGGACGCCGCCGACGGCGCCGCCGCCGCATCCGACGGGGCCGCCACCTGCGCCGCAGCCGGCGAGTGCAGCTCGACCGCCAGCTCCAGTCGCTCCGGCTTGTGCTTCGCCAGCGCCTCGCCGGCCTCGTCCCGCAGCCTGGTCGCCGCGACGATGCGTTCCTCGCACCGCTTGGGGTAGGCCTCCTGCTTAGCAGTGGCGGTCTCGAGGCGGCGCTGCACGACCTCCTGGAGGCGCGCGCAGGAGGGCTTGCTGGCAACGAGGCGCCGCTTGGCCTCGCGACTTTGCAGCGCACATCCTCCAGGGCCGTCGCGAGCCTGACCGAGTCGCACTCGATGTCCATCTTCTCCAGCTGCCGCACCGTCTCATCGTACTTCCTGATGCGCGCCCGCAGCTCGCCGTCACCGAATTTGTCGGACTCCATGCCGCCGCTGTGGCCGCCGCGCGCAGCACCCGGACACTCCGCGGCCACTGCGTCGCCCGAGGCCTTGCCCGCCTCGAGCAGCTGCACCTGGCGCTGCAGCTTCGCGATGGTATCGCCCTTGCTCCTGGCTTCCACGCGCCACGGGAAAGCCCCGGCGACGTGCAGGCGGGCCTTCGACACCCAGGGCGCGGGCGGCTCGACGTTGGCGCCGAAGGCGATGCCCTTGCGCCTCCCGCATTTGCCGCATGAGGACATCGGAACTCCATCCCACCACGGCTTCACCGTCGCCGGATGCGTACAGAACCTGCACGTCCACTTGCAAGCACCATCGCGGCGGGACCCGCTACGCATAGCGAAGTTCACCCCGAGCCGAGAGGGGAGCGAACAAAGCGGAACGGTGCTCTGGCACCGTTCTCCACACCAGGGGCGGACCTGGCGGAGGTGACGGGCGTCTGGCCGCGGACTAGCGGTATCCACTTTGTTCCCAAGGGAAACATGAGCCTTGAGCCAAAATGGCTACGGAGGAGGAGGGTAAGGATAGAGGAGGAGGAAGAGGATGGAGGAGGAGGAGGGGGAGGAGGAGCATGGCGGGGAACGGGGGGGGGGGGAGGCCGCGGTCCGAGGCGGACGGGGGCGGACGGGGAACAACTGCAGTCAACCACTATCACATGCCACTGGAAACTCGCGGAAAGCAGGGACGGCACCCAAATGACAGACAACGCATCATGAGGTCAACCCGAAAAAGACCAAACGACGCACTGGACCCTTATGGTCGAAACACTTACGGACCAAGAGTATTTAAAAACACTTGGTCTTGACTGGGAGGGGGCCGCTAAGCCAGGCTGTGGGGCAGAGCAGAACAAAGGGGCGAGGAGGAGAGGGCGATGGGGGCCCCAAGCACCGTTGTGACGCACCGTAACAGTGTAACGACTTGATACATAAAACAGAACGCGTCGACATGCGTTCCGCGTCAACGACTAAGGTTTGCCCAGGATGCACCACCTCGGTACACGATAGACTAGGAATACAGCATTGACAGTTCTACCAAAGCGAAGGAGCCCAGAGGCAAGGTAAAGGGAAGCGGCCGGACCACATGTTTCCTGTCCGGGGGCCGGTGGCGCGCGGCGTCCCGCCGGTGGGGTGATAGTGTCTCGATGATGGTGATGACGATGATGAGGTTGATGACGATGCTGCTGATGATGATGGTGATGGTGATAATGATGATGGTGTCCCGATGATGATGATGATGCTGAGGTTGATGATGATGATGACGGTGATGGTGTCCAGATGATGAGGTTGCTGATGAGCTGATGATGATGATTTTGATGATGGTAGCCAGGTGATGATGATGATGCTGATGATGATGGTGTCCCGATGATAATGATGATGGTGATGATGATGGTGACCATGATAATGGTGTCCCGATGATGATGTTGTTGATGATGATGATGGTGCCCCGATGGTGATGTTGATGATCTTGTTCATGGAGATGATAATGGGATGATGATGATGATGGTGGTGTTCCGGTGATGATGATGGTGGCGTCCCGATGATGATGATGATGATGATGATGATGATGATGTTGGTGATGATGGTGACGATGATGGTGTCCCGATGCTGATGATGGTGATTATGAGGATGATGCTGATGATGGCCATGGTGTTGATGATGATGGTGTCCCGATGATGGTGAGGATGTTGATGATGCTGATGTTGCTGATGGTGATGATGGTGTCCCGATGATGATGATGTTGATCCTGATGATGTTGATGACGATGAGATGATGAGGTGATGATGAGGATGGTGATGGTGATGGTGTCCGGGCGATGGTGATGAGGCTGATGACGATGCTGTCGATGATGATGATGATGATGATGATGATGATGATGGTGATGATGATGATGGTGCCCCGGTGATGATGATTATGGTGCTGATGATGATGACGACGATGGTGCCCCGACGATAATGATGATGATGATGATGATGTTGATGAGGCCCGATGATGATGCTGATGTTGATGATGATGATGATGATGATGGTGTCCCGATGATGATGATGGTGATGATGATGATGACGATGGTGGTGGTGTCCCGGTGATGATGATGTTGATGATGATGTTGCTGATGATGCTGGTGTACCGGTATTGATGATGATGTTGATACTATTTTCATGTTGGTGATGATGAGATGATGGTGATGATGGCGGTGTTCCGATGATGATAATGATGATGATGGTGTCCCGGTGATGATGATGTTGGTGATGATGGTGGTGACGATGATGGTGCACCGATGGTGATGATGATGATGATGATGGTGATGGTGATGATGTGAATGGTGATGAGGTGCTGATGATGATGGTGTCCCGATGGTGATGATGATGATGTTGATGACGTTGATGACGATGATGTTGATGATGACGTTGATTATGAGATTGGTTGTGATATCTATTGTGAGATCGATAGTGGGACCGAATGTGAGATAGATTGTGAGATCGATAGTCTGATCGATTGTGGTATCGATCGTCAGATCGATTGTAAGATCGATCGAATGAAATAGATCGAGTGAGACCGATTGTGAGACCGATCGAGTGAGATCGATCGGGCGAGACCGATAGTGAGATCGATGGTGAAACCGACCGAGTGAGACGTTGGTTCCTCCCCCCCGAACCTCCTTATCACCCGAAGGGTGGTCGTATAGGTATGTCAATTGGAACAGGGGGAAGAGAGAGAGAGAGAGAGAGAGAGACAGAGAGAGACCACACACGCAGAGATAACACAAACATGCGGACGAACAAACAAAATGATCGCGCACAACGACGCAAATACACTACGCGTCACACACAAACCAACACCGCTACCGTCTGGATATCACGCGGCCTTTTACGGAAACCGCAAACGAAACACGTTCCGTTATGCGGGCACTGACCTTATCACTCTCACCAACACCATCGCCATCATCACCATCAAATTGTCACCAATACCACGTTCATCACCACCACGGTCATCATCACCACAAACATCATCGGTATCGCCATTGGCATCGTCGTTGTCGTCGCCATCGTCACCATCGCCACCCCAAACACCACCATCATCGTTGTCGTCACTGCCGATGCCGTCGTCACCCGAGCCATGGACCTGCCTGGTAAGAGTCCTCGGGCCACTGCGCCACTTGACTTGTGCCAACCACTGCGGGTGGACGAGCGGGGTGCTTGCTCGAACATCGGACCTGGGGGCTCCGCGCTCTCAGACAAGGATGCCCCCACGCCGACCCCCGCAGCCACATCAGCAAAGGCGGCAGACGGTCTTGGAACACGCAGTTCGTATGACCGGGTCAGATACCCCTTACGATGAGACATAGGTGGCGAGTGAATCCCACCAGCCCTTGAGCGCGTGGGCGGATTAGGGAGTTCCCCCTTCCAACCCCCCTTTTCCCTCCCGGGGAAGGGTTTACCCATCTCCCTCCCCACTCCCCCTGGACCTGGACCGCGAGAAGTTGGAGCGTCCAAGATGTCCTAGGCGAAGAAGCCAAACTGATCGATATTAGTTTGGTGTTGGCCACATTTTGGCCTCCTGGGGGGGGGACCTAATGTGCTATATACGGCCCGCTCCTGCGATCGATCTCATCCAGGATGGCCCCAAGATGGCCCCCGAGGCTCCCAAAAGACGGAGGTGCCCAAGAGGCCTCAAGAGGCCCCCAGGATGCCCCTTTGAGACCCCCAAGAAACCTGCAAGTGGCCCCTAGAGGCTCCCCAGAAGCACCCAAGACGCCCCCAAGGGACTCCCAAGAGACCCCCAAAAGGGCCCAAGAGACCCCCCAGAGAGAGGCATCCAAGACGCCCCAAGAGGCCTCAGTGAGAAGGCCGGACACATGTTGGCCTTCTGGGGGGAGGCCCTAGTAACAGAGCCCCCCTCCTTTGATCAATCTCCTCCAAGCTGGCCCCAAGATGGCCCACGAGGCTCTCAAGGGCGCCCGAAGACGACCCCATGAGGGTCCAAGAGGCCCCCCAAGAGGCCTCCAAGATGTCTCCATGAGGCGCCCAAGAGAGCCTCAAGAGGCTCCTCAGAGGCACCCAAGACGCCCCAAGAGGCCTCGGCAAGAATACCATCAGCATTGATGTTACTAAGGTGTTGGTCACAATGTGGCATCCTGGGAGGGGGACTCTAATGTACGACGGCCCCTCCTATGATCGATATCCTCCAAGATGGCCCAAAGATGGCCCCCGAGGCTTCCTAAGGTGCCTCAAGACGGCCCCGAGAGGTGCCCAGGAGGCTCCAAGAGGCCCCCAAGATGCACTCACGGTGCCCCCAAGCGGTAACCACCACGGTGGCTGGAGCCGGAGGGGGAAGAGGGGATAGGGAGGAGGAGGAGGAGGAGCAGGAGAGGGTCCGAGTCATCTCCGAGTCCTCTCCTCCTCATCCTGCTCTCCCTCCTCCTTTCTGCCAGGGGTCGGAGGAGGCGGAAGAAAAGCACGAGGAATGTGCGGAAGAAGGCGAGGAGAAGGGTGAGGGCGAGGAGGGGGCCCTGACCTCCTGGCGTCGCGGAACAATGATAAAGCAGGCGCTTGCTTTCTCCCTGACCTCCCGCCTGACCCCCAAGAAACCTCCGAGTGGCCCCTAGAGGCTCCCCAGAAACACCCAAGACGCCCCCAAGGGACTCCCAGGAGACCCCCAAGAGGGCCCAAGAGACCCCTCAGAGGCATTCAAGACGCCCCAAGAGACATCAGTGGGAAGGCCAGAATCAATGTCCTATAAAGTTTCGACCACGTGTTGGCCTTCTGGGGGGAGGCCCTAGTTACAGAGCCCCCCTCCTTTGATCAATCTCCTCCTTGGCCCACGATGGCCCACGAGGGTCTCAAGGGCACCCCAAGACGGCCCCAGGAGGTGCCCAGGAGGGTCCAAGAGGCCTCCAAGAGGCCTCCAAGATGTCTTCAAGAGGCGCCCAAGAGACCCTCAAGAGGCTCCTCAGAGGCACCCAAGAGATGCCCCAAGAGGCCTCGGCGAGAATACCATCAGCATTGATGTTACTCAGGTGTTGGTCACAATGTCGCCTCGTTGGAGGGGGACTCTAATGTACGACGGCCCCTCCTATGATCGATATCCTCCTAGATGGCCCCAAGATGGCCCCCGAGGCTCCAAAAGGTGCCTCAAGACGGCCCCGAGAGGCCCCAAGAGGCCCTCAAGAAGCACTCACGGTGCTCCCAAGAGGTAACCACCACTGTGGCTGGAGCGGGAGGGGGAAGAGGTGATAGGGAGGAGGAGGAGGAGGAGGAGGAGGAGGAGGAGAAGGAGGAGGAGGAGCAGGAGAGGGTCCGAGTCATCTCCGAGTCCTCTCCTCCTCATCCTGCTCTCCCTCCTCCTTTCTGCCAGGGGTCGGAGGAGGCGGAAGAAAAGCACGAGGAATGTGCGGAAGAAGGCGAGGAGAAGGGTGAGGGCGAGGAGGGGGCCCTGACCTCCTGGCGTCGCGGAACAATGAGAAAGCAGGCGCTTGCTCCCTGACCTCCCGCCACAAAGAATTACAAACTGATGAACAATCGGCCCAGACGGCGAGGGCATCGGACAAGGAACCCTTCGACAAGGAATCCACGGTCTGGAGGCCGGTGGAACTCCAATCGTGGGCCGGTCATGGACATCACCGCCGCCCTCCTCAGATCAGGAACCCCCCAGGGTCCGAAGCTTCCTGGGCACACTCATTGACAAACGCCCCCACCGTACCTCCCGACCCACGGCGTGACCAGAGACCATGACGTCGGAAGTGTTGGCACGTGTGGGGACCGGCAGGAGGAGGGTGACGACGAGGGCACCAAAGGGGGGACAGCGGCTCCCTGGCGTTTCAGTCAATGACACGGACTGCGTGCCAGCTTCCTCAAGAGGCGTACGCTTGAGGTGATCCAGCTGCGCTGGGGCAAGCACTGGGCGGGTGCTTCTTTCCTCAAGCGCTGGGCAGCTTACTGGTGCAGTCTATCCCCCGCAGTGTCATGGCGGTCGTAAGGCCGTCTTGGAGGATTAGGGGTCCTCCGAGGCCCAAACAAGGCCAACACGACATGGAACCATGGGTCAGCCTCTCCCGGTTCCCACAAGCGGCGCTCCCTCCTTTCTGTTGATGCGGTCCACGGCGCCCTGCTTCACCTCGCATATCTGCATCGTCCTGCCGTCCAGAAGATCCAGCTCCAGACCTAGTTGGCCACACGCAAGAATGGCCCTGGGCCAGAGTGACCTTTGGTGTGCGGCTTTCGGGGGGCCGCGGGAGGGCCAACCACAAACGCGCAAAACGCTCCTATCGCATCGCGGTCGGCGATGGGATGGGGAGACTCCAGGGCCCACACCAAAGGTCACTCCCGCGAAGGGTCACTCTTACGTGTAGCCGACCTAAGGACTCCTCCCCCTCCAACCGCCTGACGGGGATGTGCAGGTCAGCGTGCAGGTCGATCGGGTTGCCGAGAATCTCTCGGGACTCCTCCCCCTCCAACCGCCTGACGGGGAGGTGCAGCTCAGCGTGCAGGTCGACCGGGTTGTCGAGGACCTCTGCCCCCGATATCAGCCGCCGGCTCTCGACTGCAGGGCCCCCTGGCACGTCGACGACAGGTTGGTACCCCTGGCCTTGCGCACCCGTCGTCCTCTCCACGACGCACTTGTGCAGCAGGTGTGAGGACGCCACGCTCCAGAAAAGCGACAGCAAGAACTCCATGATCGTTCTCTTGCGATTCCGCCTGTGCATGCCCGCACGGACGTCAGGCAGCCTGCAGCAGAGGACGGCCACGATGGGACACGCGACCGCGTAGAAGGTAAGCATCCAGAACGTGGCCTTGCTCACCACAACGCACTCGAGATCCTCCTCCTCCTCCTCCTCCTCCTCCTCCTCCTCCTCCTCCTCCTCCTCCTCCGGGTGCGCGGCCACTGGTGGAACGATGGGCTCTTGGACCGTGCCGTCGCCCTGCCGCACTCTCGGTGCCTCACCGGAGAGGAAATCACGGCACCAGAGCCAGGGTCCAAACATGCACACTGCAATCCGGGCAGGCAGCAACCAAACATCTCCCGCTGCAGGCATCATCACACCTGAGACCGCATTGACGACACTCTGGAGATATACAAGACGCCTGCCAGTGTCTCTCAGAGTGCCTATCCTTTCAATCTCCCCCCGCTCTCCCCAGACAGAATGCGAACCATAAGAACCACTAAAGACACAATAATGACTAGACTGACATGCACAAACAGGCGAATCAGATATGGCGAGACAACACCGTTAAACGTCTGTTTGTGCAGGTGTGGTTCCCCACCGTTGCGCACGTATCCTTCCAATTCCTGAGCGTAGGCCTGGCAGTTGTCAGAATTGAGGGTATAATATTGATGCGCCTGCAAGTATGAAGAAGCGAATATCCTAATGTCGTCCACTTTGACTCCGCTGCGAACCCTGCACCTCGACTCTGTGCACTGAGCCAGAGAAGCGGATCATGTTTTCAGTCCAGCCCCACCACCGTGCAGACGGCCTGAACGCGACATACAGATGCATACGGACATATAACGATACGGGCACGAGACCAGCCAAATGCAGCCACATGTTCGATGATTCCCACAACCATAATAGTATGCCCATTATCACAAGTGGCGTAAGCCTTGCCACCAAGAGTTCCGACAGGAATGTAGATGGCACCTGGATCATCATCAACTAGGTCGCAGTGGATCTCAGCAGGACTTCCTCCGAACAAATGTCTATTTCGTTCAGATCGGTATGAAGATGAAGGCTGACTGCACATTTCTGCGGAATGAGTTCAGCCTGGGATGCGTTCTTGAAAAAGGTGACAACCTGGAATTGAACTCGCCAGTGTTGGAAGTCCGTCAAACCAGGTATGACCTCTTTGTAATCCAGACTCGCGTGAGCTCTGCCCCCGACAATGTGTGACAGCCGCGGGTCCAACGTAAGTCCTCCGCGCCCCCAAGCAGGCTGCCAAGGATACGGCTGGCGGTGACGTTCGCGACATTGTTCATCCCATCGGTGTCGCCAGTCGCGCAGCCACGCGCAAGGCTGACCAGCAGCCACGACATCGCAAGCGGAGCGTAAGTGGATGGACAAGTCTGCGCGACGGCTGGCGGTGCTACCATGCCTCCCGCCCCGCCCAAACGCAGAGACCACGAATTGGGAAGGCGTTGGTGTATCTTGAGCCGCGTTGGGGCCCTCTTGCTTTGTCCTGGGCACCCAGAGCTGAGAAGATGTTGCGAACAAGTAATGGTTCGAGGATGCCTCCAGCGAGAGTCTCGACTTCATCGAAAAGCGTCTTGGGAGAATTGCTCGTCCGACGGCCCCAAGACGGTCTTTGAAGGCCCAAGAGACCAAATAAGACCCTATAAGCCCCCAAGACAACCCAAGAAGCGCCCAAGATGGCCTCGAGACTGACGAAGAGGGCCCAAAGTCAGCCCAACAAGCTCCCAAGACTGCCAAATAATGCCCCAAAACGGCCGAAGATCGCCCCAAGTCGGCCCCAGAAGCCCGTATACGGCCAACATGGTCGACCCACGAACCCGAAAAGGACTATGGAAATGTGACGCATGGCAACGTTTCCAAAGACACCTGATTGGGTGACGGGCAACTGCAATGCCGAGTGTATCGATATTGGTGTCCCCTGCCGAGGGCTGTGCTATGCTGCACCGTGCTGAATTGCGATGTGCCATGCCGCGAGTGTGCCCTATAGCGTCGTGGATCGAGTCCTCAGTTGCATCCGAGTCCTGACGGGAACTGATCTGGATCTTAAGCTCGAGCTGCCTGAACACATAGTAGCTGTCCCTGGGCTAATTGACAGGGGGAGATGCCAGGAGGACGCGCCGCGAAACGTCCCAAGGGACGCGCCAGGCGACGTGCCTGGGGACATGCCATGGGGTCGCACCGCGGGCGCTCCAAGGGGACGCGCTATGGAACGTGCCAATGGGTGTGCCACGGGATGTGCCAGGGGACGCGCCACGCGACATGCCAAGGGGACTCGCCAAGGGACGCCCCACGGAACGTGCCAAAGAACGTGCCAAATTGCAATGCTGACTGTATCGATCTTGATGTACCGTGCCGAAGTCTGTGCTGTGCTGCGCCGTGCTGAATTGCGATGTGACGTGCCGCGATTGTGCTGTATAGCGTTGTGGATCGAGGGGTCCTGTTGCATCCGAGTCCTGACCGAATGGTCTGGATCTTAAGCTCGAGCTGCCTGAACACATAGTAGCTGCCCCAGAGCTAATTGACAGGGGGGCATGCCAGGAGGACGCGCCGCGGAACGTCTCAAGGGACGCGCCAAGCGACGTGCCAAAGGACGTGCCATGGGGACGCACCGCAGGACGTGCCAAGGGGACGCGCTACGGAACGTGCTGGGGGCAACCATTTCGCTCGAGACATCCTGTCAAAATCCTCATGCTGAACATCCGCCTGAGCGACCTGGACACGTGAAAACAAGCGGTTCGCTCGAGGCATCCTCAACACATCTTCATGTGATACGCACCTCCTCATTCTAGACATCCGCCTGGGCGACCAGTACACGTGAAAGCAAACGTGACGCTCGAAACATCCTCAACACATCTTCGTGTTAGACATCCACCTGGGCGACCTGGGCACGTGAAACCAAGCGTATCCCTCGAGACATTCTCAACACACCCTCATGCTAGGCATCCGCCTGGGCAACCTGGACACGTGCAAACAATCATCTCAATCGAGATGTCCTCAACACATCCTCATGCTAGACATCCGCCTGGGCGACGAGGACGCGTGAAACCAAGCGTCGCGCTCGAGACATCCTCAACACATCCTGGCGCTAGACCTCTGCCTGGGCAACCTGGAGGCGTGAAACCAAGCGTCCCGATCGAGACATCCTCAAGAACTGGGCACGTGAAGACAAACATGTCTCTTGAGAGATCCTCTGAATTCTGGTCCCCGGGAGAGGGCACTCTATAACACAAAACAAGCGTTTCGCTGGAGACATCCTAAACCAGTTCTGAATTAGCCTGGCGAAGGACCCAACCATATGCAATTGTGAGTACCGTCTTTTTGTGAGCAACGCATTCGGTGAGGTTTCATATGGGGCCACGAAGCGCTGCCCTGGGTGGGGAACCGCATGCGGGCACCCCCACTGGGGCCTACGGTGGAGCTCCTTATGCGGCCACGAAACGCTGCCCTGGGTGGGGGAACCGCATGCGAGAGCAGCCACTGGGGCCTACGGTGGAGCTCCCTATGGGGCCACGGAACGCTGCCCTGGGTAGATGAACCGCATGCGGGCACCCCCACTGGGGCCTGTGGTGGAGCTCCCTATGGGGCCACGAAGCGCTGCCCTGGGTGGGGGAGCCGCATGCGAGAGCAACCACTGGGGCCTACGGTGGAGCTCCCTATGGGGCCACGAAGCGCTGCCCTGGGTAGGTGACTGGCTGGGGCCTGTGGTGGAGCTCCCTATGGGGCCACGAAACGCTGCCCTGGGTGGGGGAACCGCATGCGAGAGCAAACACTGGGGCCTTCGGAGGATCTCCCTATGGGGCCACGAAACGCTGCCCTGGGTACGGGAACCGCATGCGAGAGCAGCCGTTGGGGCCTTCGGTGGAGCACCCTATGGGGCCACGAAACGCTGCCCTGGGTGGGGGAACCGCATGCGAGAGCAGCCACTGGGGCCTTCGGTGCCTACGCTCCTACAGGAGAAACGAAGGGCACCCCCAAGCCGAGGAGTCTCAGCTGCGATTCTTCTGGCCAGGGTCGCATCCGACGGAAGGGGCACCAACTTTGGCTCGGAAGGGGGGAGGCGGGCAAAGTATGTAAACTTACCCCTGAGAAGATGCGCGGCCTTAGGACCCGTGCGCATAACCTCAGCTTCATAACCCACTCCCACGACCTGAACGTCATCGGCAACCAGTCCCAAGTGCAAGTCTGGAAACACACGACGTAAGGAGTTCAGCTCTGGCATAAAGCATGATGCGCATGAGCAAATCGGCAAAAGAGCAGCAAGCAACGATAGTGATTGCAGCAGACATCCACGATCCGACGATTCGGCGCACAGTAAGAAAACGCGGGGATCGGTACAAACCCAACAATATTCTCCTGAGGGCGAGGTTGAACTGAAACTGCTGGCAACGCTGGATGAGCAAGCGGTGGCGAACCTACAACAACAGCACCATCAACAACATCAGCAACAACAACATTAGCAGCAGCAGCAACAACGCAACAAGCAGAATCCTCACCACTGCTATCCACTAGAGCCATGCACAAAGGAACAATGAATGACCGTTCGGCCCCCTCACTCTGATCTTTTCTGCCCGGTGCTTGGCGACTTGGGACCCCAACAATAACAAACATGAATCTTCCACTGTAGCGGCCAACTCCCAGGCTTCAGCTATCGTCGTCGACGCCGCCGCCGTCGGGAAGACGACGGCGACCAACACGACCACGAAGACGACGCGCCGACTGGATTGGAGACGTAGCTAACGATCTTGTGCAGGGTCGCCGAAAAAAACATGGTCCGATGATATGAACAACGACCAAATAAGATTTCGCAGGAGGAGGGAGGAGGAGGAATAGGAGGAGAAGGGGAGGACAACGAACAAAAAAAAGAGGAGACGAAGGGAAAGACGGAGGACGACGATGGAATAATAGTGAGGAAGACGGATGTGGACGAAGGAGGATGGAGGAGCGGGATGATGATGCTACTGATGATCGTGGTGCTTGTGATTATCATAATGGTGCTGATGTTGTTGATGATGGTGGAAGTTGTGGTGATGCGGCTGATGATGATGTTGGTGACGAAGGTGATTGTCATTCGGAAAACGTTGTGTTGTTGAGGATGAAGACTATGATATTGATGATGGCGATGATGAGGGTGCTAAGGATGACGGAGCAGGAGGAGGAGACGACGTAACCAAGAAGGTCCGTCCGACCGCCAACCTCGACCTCGGTCGACGCGAACGCATCGACAGAGGGAGAGCGGGTCCCAGCTGGGTGGCGCTTGGGTTCATTTTCGGCCTCCCGAAGGGCGTCGCAACCCGTTGCCACTTCCGCCACCAGGAGGGCCCGCGCAAAAAATGGCGCTCGCAGCAGACCAG